AGGTCGTATGAGTTGGAGGAAACTCCCCCCCAGAAGTGCTCTCGTTGTGAACAAATCGCGACGGAAGTTTTTGTTGCCGTTTTCGGCCTCGGGGGGCCCTCGCCGGGCTCCTGGACCGTCACAAAACGACTCGGGATGGAAAGCTCGCCCTGGGCAGAAGGTCAAGACTTCGCGGGCCCCGTGTTGAAACAAGCAAGACATCGGATGTCTGGGCCAGGATCGGATCGTGGGTCGAGGCGGTCTCGTTGATCGAGTGCACGGGTCGAGGCGCGGGGACGGTGCAGGTCGTGTCCACAGATCTCCGCCGATGTGTGTGTGTGTGTGTGTGTGTGTGTGTGTTTCGGCTTTCGCGGCTCTTTTCCTTGGTTTCGGCCCCATCAGAAATTGATCTGCGGCGGCAAGCTGCCCCAGGGTCGTGGTGGAAAATTGCTCCAGAGGGGCGAATCGGGGACCTGGGGCCGCGCATTGAATACTCACATCGCTGGACGTCTGGGTCGGGTGAGAGAGAACCGCTGGATCGAGGTCGAGGATCGGTGATCGAGGCGGGCTCTGCAGTCACCCGTTGATGGAGGGCTCCTCCTCTGCAGGCCGCCTCTCCTTCCCCTGTTCCTTGCCTTCGTTCTTCTTGGCAAGGAGGGAGGAGGATTTACAATCGAGGGGTGGCAGGTGCAGATCATATCGGATGAAGGAGAACCTCCCCACCCCTCCTCGTCGTGAACAAATTACGACGGAAGGTTTTGGCACTTTTCGATTTCCTGGTGTCCTCACCACGCCGTGGGCCTGCAAAAAGGGCTCAGGATGGAACGCTCTTCCAAGGGAAGCGTCGAGACCTCTGGGGGTCCACGGTGCGAGCAAGATCATTTCGGCGGGGGTCTGGGCGTTAGGATGGAGGTTCCAGTGACGAGGTGCTTGGAGCGCTTTCACTCTTTGAGGGCCTTTTGGAGGCTTGTCGCCACGGCTGGATCCTATTGGAAATTCTCGTCAAAGCGCACCCCAAGACGAGTCGGGGGTCCGAGAGCTGGTAGTTTTCCCTCCGATTTTGTGTATCGGGGCCCCACGACAGTCATCGAAAACCGACTCGGAATGGCAAGCCTCAGCCACGCGCAGAGGGGGGTAATGGGAAGGGGGGCAGTCTTCTTAGAAGCACCCCTGCTTCTTAGAAGGCGCGGGCCTTCTCTGTAGATGCAGCGCCGGCGCCTCCTAAGAAGCAGCCTCCTTCTAAGAAGCCTTCCCCCCTCCCCGTACAGTCGACTCGCATAGTAAGGATGATCGACTTTTCAAGGTGACCCTTGCATCCTTCACCTTCGGCCCATCCTTGGCCGCTTTCGCTGGCCGCGCCCCGCTCGCAACGTGTCGGCATGGCCTTCCAAGGCCCCTGCATCCTTCTCGTGCGTACTTGTTTTACAGGTCGACTGTAGATTTAGGACCGGCGCCCTCTAAGAAGTCTTTCCCCCTCCCCTTACTGCCCTGTGCGCCAGGGCTCGAGCTAAACGGTGTTTTCGCGATTTCGTTGACCGTTTGTGCTCTGAGTTCGTTCTGCAGCAACGTTGGAACGGCGACAGAGCGAAGGGAAACGACAACAGGACGATCACGGAAGTCACTGCCTGGCTCGAGCCCTGCCGTGCGCGCCGCGAGAAGCCGGCCCCCGGGGAGGAGGAGGGGGAGGAGGGGGAGGGGGAGGAGGGGGAGGAGGGGGAGGAGGGGGAGGGGAGGAGGAGGAGGAGGAGGAGGAGGAGGAGGGGAGGAGGAGGAGGAGGACGAGGGGGAGGAGGAGGGGGAGAGGGGTCGAGAGCCTTGAGGGCCACGCGTTGAGCATGCCGCGACGTCGGAGGCCTGGCCCCAGTATCGGCACCACCGCCAGAGAACGCGTGCGCGCGCACCACGGTGCGCGCGCGCACGCGTCGGGCGCGGGCCGTCAGGGCCCGGCGCCCGCGTGGAGGTACGCGTTGCCGCGCTGCCGAGGAAAACGTCTCTCCTCGTCCTTGTCCTCGCTCCTTGCCTCCTGTCCTCGTCCTCCCTCTCCTCTCCGTTGAGTGCACGCGTGTCTCACTTAACCCAAGCACAGACAACACATTGCACTGATGATTTGACGAATGCCAGTCGCACTGGTACCAGTAGGTTCGATGGTCAGGAGAAGAGGGCGGGGCATAAGACTTACGGATAACATGTTCGCCAGCATGAACCCCCAAGGCAGTGTGTGTGTGTGTGTGTGTGCGTGTGTGTGTGTGTGTGTGTGTTTGTGTTTGTGTGTGTGTGTGTAAGTGTGTGTTTAGCATGCTGTGTTTAGCATGCTGTGTTTAGCATGCTGTGTGGTCCAGTCTAAATAGTGCAATTGGTTTTCACGATCGAGTTGGCGCATCCCATGCTCTTGCAAGCATCTCACCCACCAGCCCGCAACTTGGTTTGCAAAACCCATGCGGTGGCGATTGCGATGCATGCTTGGCGTTGGCAGGGGCGTCTCTGCGGCCGCGCCAACCCTAGCACGCGCGCGCAGCGGCCAGCTAGTTTGACGCCACCGACGCGGCCGGAGAGGCGCTGACCGCTGGGCGCATGCCAGCGGGCACTTAGCTGCGAGTCGGCGGCCTGGGCGGGCGCGGTATCAAGACAATGCCGACTAGGGTAGACACGATGATGATGGTGACGATGCTGGTGACGACGTTCGCACCAACGATGG